AAAAGCAAAAAGAAGATAGAGGATAGATATCGGATCGCGGAAGATGACCTCGGATGACGGATGTTGGCGGTCGCTATCAAAGCGTGTTTATCACACCTTATTCGACCCTGTTCTCATCAATCATCAAGCGCACTGCCTGCCCCCAAAACTCCACTTGCCAATGCCAAAATCCACGACGTTCCTGAGAAAAAAGAGCCGACCGGCTGGCAAAAGGGGAGGTTGGGGTACATGCTACCCTTGCCGATCCCCAAAAAGGCCTCTCTTTGCGGGGCTCTCTTTCTCTCTCTCGGTGAGCAGTTGAAGCATTGTGTTTGGAGATTTAGTCATTTGCGCTGCTTCTTATCAACACCGCTCACCTCACTGGCTGCACAGCGTCAAGTCATCCATAATCCCCATCTTGATTCTTGGCACCCCGGGCCCCAAAAGTGAACGCCGACGATATCGGAGAGAGACCCTTCTTCGCTTAAGCAATGACATCGATCTCCACGGATCTAGCGTGCTCGCAGCGAGCTCTCCGCTGCCCGGGTGTGCCTTGATGCTTGAGTCAGGGATCCGGGCTTCTCCAACTCTTCTCAATTCTCCAACGTCAGTGGTCAATGGGTTACACCGTCAACGTTGCCTCCATCAAGACCATCCCAGCGACAGACGGGGTCGTCGTGTGAGCGGGTCGTCGGGAAATTGTCGTCAACGAGAGGGGAAACACGAAGCGGCGCAACGCGGAAGAGGAAACGAAAGACCGAAAAAATGCTCTTAAAGGTCGGCGGCATCCGGTGCTGCGCATCGGTGCTGCTGTGTTCCTCCCTCTTCACCTCCTTCATCCACGGTGAAGAAGTACAACCGAGACAACATCACGGAGACGAGGGGTCGACGCAGTCAGTCATCATGAAGTTCTCCTCGTCGCTCCTCGCGGCGTCGCAGGTCGTCCTGTCCCCGGCCGCCGCCTACAACCCGGTCACCCTCAAGGACTACGGCACCTTCGCCGGCACCGTCGTCAACTCGACCTTCAGCGGCCGCGCGCTCCCCGCGCCCGTCGACGCCTGGCTCGGCATGGACTACGCGACGCAGCCCGCCGGGCCCGAGGGCCGCTTCAAGCCCGTCTCCTGGCCCGCCGCCTTCAACGGCACCAAGCAGGCCACCGCCTTCGGCAAGACGTGTGTCCAGGACCCGACCTCCATCGACGTGAGCACCCAGGACGAGGCCTGCCTCAACTTCAACGTCTTCCGCACCCGCGGTGTCCCGTTGGACCAGAAGACCCCCGTCCTCGTCTGGATACACGGCGGCGCCTTCGTGGCCGGCAGCTACAAGTCCTTCGACGGCGCCGCCTTCGCCGCCTCCTCCAAGGAGCCCATCACCGTCGTCAACTTCCACTACCGCCTCAACTCCCTCGGCTTCCTGCCGTCGGCTCTCTTCGAGGAGGAGGGCCTGCTGAACCTCGGCGTGCTCGACCAGCGCCTCTTCCTGCAGTTCGTGCAGAAGCACATCTCCGCCTTTGGCGGCGACCCCGAGGCTGTCACCATCGGCGGCCGCTCCGCCGGAGGGCACTCCGTCGGCATCCACTACTTCCACAACTACAACGCCGACGCCGGCAAGCCGCTCTTCGCCCGCGCCATCCACCAGTCCGGCTCCGTCACCGCCCGCGCGTTCCCCAACGCCACCTATCCCCTCTACGTCAAGCAGTTCGAGACCTACATGGCCTACCTCGGCTGCCCGACGGACGGCGCCGACAACGCCGCTGCCCTGTCCTGCCTGCGCGCCGCCGACATCGACGCCATCCGCAACATCAGCACCCAGCTGTACAACGACTACGACCCGGCGCTCACCTGGCCCTTCCAGCCGACGCAGGGCGGACCCCTCCTCGAGAAGTTCGGCTCCCAGTCCGGCTACGACGGCACCTTCTTCCACGTCCCGACCATCACCTCCAACGTCAACGACGAGGCAAAGTACTACATGGCCGGCGACAAGGAGACGAACGAGGAGTTCGTCGACTACATGCACAACACGTCCCCCGCGCTCAACGAGACCGACCTCGCGCTGCTGCAGGAGCTCTACCCGGACCCGGCCACCCACCCCGACTCGCCCTTCGCCAACTCGCCCAACAGCACGCAGTACAACCGCCTGTCTGCCGCGTGGAGCGACTACGCGTACATCTGCCCCGGCCAGGAGACGGCGTACCGCGCGTCGCTCGCCGACGTGCCGACCTGGAAGCTGCGCTTCAACACGAACAACTCGTGGCCCGCGTGGCGCGGCATCCCGCACACGGCGGATACGAAGTACACCTGGGACGAGCCCGTCGTGCAGTACCCCGAGATCAGCCACGTCTACCACGGCTACCTGTCCAGCTTCGTGCTGTCGGGCGACCCGAACACGTACAGGTACCCTGGTAGTCCGGAGTGGCCCAGCTACAAGCCCACCGGGTACGGTCTGGAGTCGGAGCCGGCGCTGCAGCTTGTTGTTGAGCCGAACAACGGCACGAGGGTCGAGGAGGATGTCATTCGCAGGGAGGCGTGTCTTTACTGGAGAGAGCCGGAGAGGGCTCCCCGGTTGAACAAGTAGATTAATTCACTGTAGATATTATTGGGTACGAAAGGAGCCCTGGTACAGAATCGAATAATGAACAATTCCTACACATCCCGACGAAATTCAGGATGATGCGACATCTTTATGCTCGGATCTCCCAATCGACATCATCACCCAGCCACTTCTCCTTCCACTCATCCGCCAACTTCTCATACTTTTGCTTCTCATCCTCCCGGCCCAGCTTCTCGTACAACATCGACAGCCACATATACCGCCAATTCGCCGTGATCATCAAGTCCTCCTCACGGAGCACCTCCAGACTCTCCTCGGTAAGCTGAATCGCCTCCTCTGTCTTGTTATCATACGAAGCATACTGCGACTTCGTCTCCAGCTCGTGCAGCCTCTTCCTATTCACATCCGACGCCGCCACCACCTCCTCCGGCGCGGTGCACAGCTTACACCCGCATTCAAACCCCCAGTCCTTCTTCAGGTTCCGCCGGCGGCGCTCTCTTGCTAACTCGACCGGCAAGTAGCTGATGGTGATCTCCTCGCCCTGCGCAATACCCTGCTCGCCCGCGACGACGGTGCCGGACAGCCCGTCGGTGGGCAGGCGCATGTACGCGTTGGGGCGGCAGTCGTGGTTGATGCGCGCGATGCGCGGGAGGACGGCCATGTTGGGCATACGCAGCTTGATGGTCAAGCTGTTCGCGTTGAGGGTGTCGAAGACGAGGTTGCCCCTGGCGGTCGGCAGGCGGTGGAGGTCGGCGATGACGGCGGGGGACGGGAGCTGCGCCATGCTGGCGTTGAGCAGCGTGTAGCCGTCGGGCTGCGTCATCCAGCGCTGGATGTTCTTGTCCATGATGAGGGTGGCCTCGTCGGTGAGGATGACCTCGTGCGCGGCGATGGGGCGCGTGGCGACGAGGCCCTTGCCCTTGCCCTCGATGTCGACGACCTCGTACGGCTGGGGGCTGGTCGATCGCGAGAAGTGTGTTTGGGTGTTTTTGGGGAGGATGGTGCGGTTGTTGGCGACGCACTCGAGGATGCTGGCGTCCATGACGCGCTGCTTGGCGATGATGCTGATGCCGTTGGGGCCGTACTGCGTGTCGGTGTAGACGCAGTACTTGGAGGCCGGGTCGGCGACGTAGCTTTTGCAGACCGGCTTGTGCGACCAAACGACCTGCTGCGGTGTGTGTTTCATGGCGAGCCCGGGAGCCTCGATCGGGCAGATGGACGGGAAGAGGTCTGGTGTTGCGACGCCATCGGGGCCGAAGGGGTGCCAGCCCACGAGATCCTCGACCAAGATGAAGGCCTTGAGGATGTGGGCCTTGAAGTCGAGAGCCTTGGGCCACATGTGGGCTGCCATCGTGTGTGGAACGAAGGTACTAGTCTGATATCACTGAATGTTTGGAACTTGACGATAATGAGGGACGACGACGAAGGACGACGACGAGGAAGGACGGCGAAAGGTCAGCGCGCGCGTCCCATGACTGTGGTTTTATTGATTCTGCCAACCCTTTTGGCCTGTTTGTCCTTCAAAGTTATACATTAGGCAAAAAAAGATTTAAATTCGAGATAAACAATATTGCAAACCTTTTCAACCCTCAGATCAAGCCCCCTAAGAAATACTCAATTCTAAATGGAGAAAGCTCCCTCTTGGACAATATCACATCTACCCACAAAACAAAATCTTTATTCTGTAAAGCAACAATATAATTCGTATGGACAGAAAGCTGAAGATTGTTCACACGAAAACACTATCATCGCCAGTCTGATAATTCATAATCCATCGACATGTCAAAATTGTGAAGGCTGCATAAATGTGCTGTCGATTTTATGCACACATTGTGACTGACTCGGCCTTCAACTTGGCCATTGACCATGTCCAGAAGGAAGTCTGAGCCTGGAACGACAATTGCAAAAGCCGTCTACATGAAATATTGAATGAATAAAAGGAAAACGCCACCTTCAATACCGAGTCTCTGGTCCTGTACAGCCAATGCAGCCTTCATTCAGCTCATAAACGGTCAGCCCCTCGATATGACAGTGAGGGGCACCCTGAGATCGTCACTGAAGGAGGGGTGATGTCACCACACCTGAACCCAGTGAGACATGCAGGCACACTCATCTTGTCGATTTTCTTCCCATTGACTCAATCGCATTCATGTCGCGATGTTTTCTCCTGAGACTCACTCACTTGAGGCTCACCCAGATGAAGCCTCCCACTTCCCTTCACTCATCACATTTCAGTAGCAGCTAGATGGGCTTATTTGCGGGTCTCCGAATCATCCCCGAGCTCGGGAGGGGCTCTCAGAACGGAACTGGTGCCCCGCGGCCGTTTTTAGTGTTTGACTCATTCTTTCAGGAGAGAAAACTCATTGGAGGCGGCTGAGATTTTGCATTGGGATCACAGGAACTTCCCTCTCACCTCTCAACCTAATCCAACCACAAACACCTCTTCAACCCCCTCCCGACCATCATTCAACATGGCCTCCGCCAAGCACGACCACATCTTCACGCTGTCCTGCCCGGACAAGTCCGGCATCGTGCACGCCGTGACCGGGGTGTTCGCGGCGCAGAAGCTCAACATCCTGGACCTCCAGCAGTTCTCCGACCCCGTCTCGGAGAAGTTCTTCATGCGCGTGCACTTTGGCCCGACCGAGACGGAGTCGACGGAGCACCTTACGGCCCCGTTCGACGCCCTCGCCGCCGAGCTCCAGCTGGACTGGTACCGCATCCGCCCCGTCGCCCGCAAGCTGCGCACCCTCATCATGGTCTCCAAGATCGGCCACTGCCTCAACGACCTGCTCTTCCGCGCAAAGTCCGGCCAGCTGCCCATCGACGTGCCCCTCATCGTCTCCAACCACCCGGACTACCAGACCCTCGCCGGCAACTACGGCATCGACTTCCACCACCTGCCCGTCACCAAGGACACCAAGGCCGCGCAGGAGGAGGCCATCCTCAAGCTCGTCAACGACAACGACATCGAGCTGATTGTCCTCGCGCGCTACATGCAGGTCCTCTCGCCCAAGCTGTGCGAGGCCATGTCCGGCAAGATCATCAACATCCACCACTCCTTCCTGCCGTCCTTCAAGGGCGCGAAGCCCTACCACCAGGCCTACGACCGCGGCGTCAAGATCATCGGCGCCACGGCCCACTTCGTCACCGCCGACCTGGACGAGGGCCCCATCATCGAGCAGCGCATCGCCAGGGTCGACCACGGCATGAGCCCGAAGGACCTCGTCGAGGAGGGCTCCAACATTGAGAGCCAGGTTTTGGCGGCCGCTGTCAAGTGGACTGCCGAGGGCCGCGTGTTCCTCAACAAGACCAAGACTGTTGTTTTCAACTAAGCTGGATATCCGGGGCGCATAGGGTTATGATGAAAAATAAAAGTTTGGCATTGTCTTTTTGGCGCTCATTCTATGTCTCTCGGCTTCTGCGGTGATTGATCCCCTTTCTCATGACTTGTTGGCTGCTCTATAAGGCTCGGCGAGACATCTCCGGCGGGCATCTCGTACACCATGTTCTCTACCTCCAGCTCATCCCGGTGCGATGGCGAATGCAGCTCCGTCAGCACCTGCAGTTCTCGTTTCGCTGTGTCAGGGTGTAGCTCAGCTATCGGGATACCGTCTCCGTCCAACTCTGGCTTTCCTCCGAGCGCATGGTACTCATCTCCGGACTGAGCAGCAGCATTCTGCTCATTTTCTTGTTGTCGACGGCGCTTGAAATACCACCACCCTCCACCGATTGCCCCGCAGATCCCGGCGACGGCCCCGGCGACGATCCCAGCCGTTTTCCTGCCGCCAATTCCCCCGTCGTCCGAATTATTATCAAGTGCTGTCCACGATCCCCGCCACGTATCTGCGAAATAATCGGCAGGGTTCGAGCTAAGGGTTTCGGCATCGTCATCTACAGCCACTCTCTGCCCCACGTTTGGCCCTGGTGCCTGCGCCATGTAGAACCTCTTTCTGTCGTAATTGTACCCAATAAACGCACCCTGTAAGAAGGCTCTCCCGAGAGATATGGGGTCAGTACTCGTCATGACCAATCCTTCTATGTCCAACGGCTTGCAAGGCCAGTACCGCATGTCGGCGCTCGAACCGTTCCTCTGGGGAGAGACATTGAGATAGAGTAGTTTGAAAGGTATCTTGACGGTGAGGTTCTCCGCTGATATGTCAGAGAAGACGAAACTCATGTACGCTGGAGAGTTCACGATTCGGTTGACGCGCTCCGAGTCGCCGGTCTCGTTCCAAATGTACAAGCCCAAGTCGTTGTGGAAGTAAACCGGCAAGTACGCGGCCGCAGCAGCGCAGACGCTTGGCGGCAGGTACAGGTACGGAAATGCAGCGTCCGGATTGACCATGAGGGAGCCCGGGGGGCCACTGAACATTTTTACCATGTCCTTCTGAGTGTTGGTGATGTTGTCCGCATCCCATACGCTGCCCAGTTGCTGGCCAGGCGGGAACGGAGAACCTCCGTATTCGACCCCCAGGGCAATGTCAATGAGAAAGGCAAGTGGAAAGGCGCCGTATGGGGACAGCCTGAAGGTCGCAACTCTTCCCAATGCACGATTCTTTTCGTATCCGCCAAAAGACAGAGAGATTGCTTGGTTCAGCAGGTTGCTGCCCAGGTGCATGAACCATGAATTCGATGTAATGGATTGGTTCTTGACGAGTTGGTCGGTGATTCCGAGAGGAATCCCTTCGTCGATCCGGGCTTGTTCGTAGTTTTCCCTGATGCCTCTTCCCAGGCCGAGGATGCCTACAGGAACGTTGGAAGTGACATTGATGTAGGTGTGGCTCCATTCATGCACCTCTGCAATAGTCATGTTGAAATCTGAAGAGTAACTTTCGAGTGATTCGTCTACCAGGTAGAGGCCCAATACATTGAACCACATCGATGTCCAAGGGCTCCAGATCATGTACTCTGTCGGCCAGTAGTTCAGCGCGTCAATCTGGGAGCCCCTTGAGATGTAACGGACGGCGCCATTCTTCGAAAGGCTTCCCCGAAAGTTGCCACCAGCGTCTACTGACAACATCTGAGAAGGTGAATTCCCCGAGGGCCACACACGTGCGCGGAATTCCACTTCGCCATCGACGACTTGGTCGACTGGGAAATAACCACTTAATCTCGCTGTGTTCCATGGTCCATCTACATCACTGCTTGAATCGCCCCCTTGATCCATCAAAAAGAGCGTCGCAGCAGATGCGCAAGCCGCATTGAACACCAGATGTAATATTCGCATCGTTCGTGGTACGCCGTGTGAGATAGGATGGGAGATTTGGACGGAATGACAAGTTGCTTGGGAGTGGCAGACGGCGGAGGTGTGCTCGTGGTGTTAAGCTGAATGGACTGGAATCTCAGACCAAAAGGAGTCGGAAGGAGGAGATCAGGAGAGACGTCCCGTCGAAACAGACGCGGGACTCGAGAGCGGAAATGTTAAGAACTGTGCCGCAATCTTTTTCCACGGGGGAAATTAGGAGGAGAGCCGATTTGCAGTTTGCAAGGTTGAGGTTCCGGGATCGCGATGTTTGCTGGCTCCAACAGCACCAACGGTTGGACAAGAACCCTGGAACCAGTCCCGACAGTCTGGGCGAGCTCACTCCACTTCCTCGTCTCAGAGGTCTAATCTGAATCTGGGTAGCCGAATAAGAAAGAAGACTCATGCCACTCGTAGCTTGTCCTATGAGGAGTAGCGGCCGTACGTTTGAAAAGCGGTCAGATGCTGGCTTGGCAAAACAACATGAAGACAGAGCTGAACTCGCTGGGAAGTATCTAAATTTTGACCTGATCACTACGTGCAGCTTGCTAAAATGATTTAAAGCGTAACTTCTGGATCGGTCTGGTGCTCGTGGTTGTTGCTTTCGAACCTATGTTCGATCGTTACGAACTTTCAGGATCCAGCATATATCCGTACCTATAAAATGTGATACCACCATTCCTACGATTTATGCATTTTATACTATCATTATTGTCCCTCAACAGTAATGGGTTTGTTGAATTTTTTGGTGAATATTATGAGTTATTGCGCTGGATGTGTTGAGATAGTAATGATGAGGGTTTTTCGAATTCAATCGAAGAGTTCGGTGACGGTCGAATGCATAAGAGCTCAGACTAGAAGGGAAGAGAGCAATTACTAAAGACATGACTGACGCAAGTAAAAACCGTCTTTTCGATAGTAATACAAGAAGGATTTGGAAAAATCTCAGGCGAAGACCTGAATGCGTTAGTAAACACCTCTCAGAGTTTTGTCGACGTAAGGGCATGCCGCGTCGCGCAATTTCCGACTGTTGGCCAATCTCCCCAGCGCTTCATGAGCAAGAGCCTTGGTAGATATGAAAAGAGTGAGAGAACCTCACTTTGTGCCGTAGAATCCCTCGAGGGGTGTGCTACGAAGGCTTTGGATTCCCCTGCTGGATACTGTGCTACAACCCAGATTCAATATGGGTTACTTCACAAGTAAAGTCTTGAACCTCGACCATCACAAATCAGTCATGGCAGTCATACTGCGAGACAAAAGCAGAAGGAAAAGTTTTGTTAATGACAAGATGCAAAACAACTGGTGATGGAAGCCTCTTGATAGAGTGTGGAAGCAGTAGGATGAAAAGAATAGTTCATACACAGTTACAGGTATCTATTGGACACGACGATCTTGCATTGGCCTGCTCATGGAAGGTGAAATGGTCAAAACACATTAACATTCGATTTTGAAGCGACCAAAGCAGATGAGCGACTAAACACTTGCAACTGAGAAGAAAACATGATGCTTGAACGAAAAATACGACAATCTAGGTTTGTACTTTTCAAACACGATATAAGTCTTAGTCGTCAATATGAGGTCGACCTTCATCACACCAACATCAAAGGCAGCCCATACCACTGCCGTTATCGTACGGTGATGGAAGCATTTTAGGGAGGTTCACCATCTTGAGCCCCCTGGCGAAACATGTCTTGTCGGCCGGACCCGACGACAGTGACCATCTGCGTGTGTGTGCCTTTGTCTTGGGGCCTAACAATGCTCAGGCATTGGCACCCAATACATGTGAGGCGATGACAATGGAATCTTTGTCAAGACCGGCCTTTCCCCATGTCAGACGATTCGGGTTCATCCAAACCAAACAGAGCGTCGATTTCTTCAAAGCGGACATCAGTTTCGTCGTGTTCCTGAAGATTGGGATCCAAAGGCGTCAGGGAGGTGTACTGATCAAGGTGGGAACTGCCACCAGAATCATGTAAGTCGTCTTGCAGATGCCCATTGAAGGGACTCGTGTTGTCGTCCTCGTTGTGGAGCGAGCCAGGAGGTTCTATTCGAGCAGTGACTGTAGCGACCTGATGCGACATTGAAGGCGTACGGGGGAGACTTCCTGCCTCTGCGTTGTCAGATGGAGCATTGGTATCCGACTCGGATTCGTGGGAGTGAATGGTTAATGTGTTGCTTAGGAAGCTTGAAACCCGGTGAAGGATAACTCCAAGACTTCCAGGAGATGCGATCAACCCATCATCAGCCAGCTTCGTAGCGAATGGGGACGCTGATGCTACAGACGTCAGGCACGCTCTGAAAAAACCAGATACGTTGTCGTCCAAAAGAGGAGACTGCGGTTGCGCAATACCATTGCCTCCACAGGCGATGTCCCAAACTCTGTACCATCGGTCTCTCTCTGAAATCTGGCGTTCCCGTCTGCGGCCCCTCAACTCCGTCGCCTGGTCTTCGGTCAAGCCGTCGTATGGATCGGGTTGTGGTTGTAGAGCTGCATCGCAACTTCCTACGTGGGCATTCCAGAGTACCCTAGTCTCGAAACTCGTTCTGCAACGGGGACACCTGTTCGCTACGTAGTGAGACCTGAAGAGGTGCTGTAACATATGGGACGCGGTGTCGAAGTTCAGCATCGCGCATCGGAAGTATTTGATCGGGTCTTTCTTGAAGAATGGGCATGCAAAGCGTGCAAAGGGATTTGCATTTGCGTCAAGCTTGGATCGTTTGCCGCCTCCATTGCCTGAGCCTCGGTCACCGCTTCTTCTTCTCTTTCCCCTCTGTCCCGTCGACTTGACTTCTGGTTGACGAGCAGTCGAGTCTTTCGCGCCGTTGCGACCGGACGAGCATCGACTGCCTTTGGAACTATTAGGTCGGTCGGTTTCGGGATCGCCATGGCCGTGCTTTGCAGCAAGTTGACGTGCCACAGCCAAGAGGAATTGTCGCAGCGATAGCCTGTGCTGCCCTTCAGGCTCGGGAGTGGTGACAGACTGCTGACTCGAGTGGTCTGGCAAACTGGCCAAGAATTGATCTATGGTGGGCTCTGGAGGTCGAACGTTATGGCTACTGAGATTTGAGACGCTTGTGTTGGTCTGGTAGCCAAGTGTCGCTGGGCTATCTGAGAAACTAGGAAGGTCGGAAGCGAGTTTTCGAGGCCATGGTGGCTGGTTTGGCGCTGATCGCGAGGGGTCGAGAGCCTCACGAGCGGCACCGACTTTCTGAATAGAGGATGGTAGTGTGGTTCTAACGGCGTCGTTGCTTGCGTGGATTGGCAGACGAGAGTGGAGGGTAGCATCGCTATCGCTATTGAGGTAATCAAAGCTAGAGGCAGTGCTGCCGAAGACTTTGAATGGGAGGTTGTTCGTAATTGGAAGGTCGTCCAGGGTCGATTGTCTTTTCAGTTTACTGAGAAGCTTGCTGACACTGGGATACCTGCGGCGCGAAAGCTCAAGCTCTGCCTCGTCAAGTCGAGAATAAAGAGTGTTGGAGGCTGAGATATTTTCATCCCCCAAGTCGCTGCTGTCGTTGGGAGATGGTACTTGCTTGGAAGACTTCTTCTGGGTGTTGGATAAACTGGTTTTAAAACGAGGGAGAGACTTGTCTTTGATGAGCGGAACGCGTTTGCTTTCAGGTGGCCCGGTAATATGCAGCCCGCGCAAGCGGGACGGAAGGTCACTGAAGCGGGATCCCGAGTTCACCCCGGGAACGGAGGGAGGACGAGACGCCATATTGATGTAACTTGTGTCAGGTAAAATCGGGGTGCAGTATGCTTTGTGTTGCCTTTAATACAAATATGAAGTGGTAATGTCGCGACGAGAGCCTGAAGGGGGAAAAACGGAGGGCTTGGGTTGTCTTTCTCTCCTTCCCCCCTCCCTATGCCGTGACCCCTGTCTTCGAATGTGCAGAAAAAAGTTGCTGTGGAAGGATGAAGCGAAAACGCGGCGGTGGTTGATGGTTCGCCCTTGCACAGCCAGCCAGCCTGCCTACCATCACCACCACTTGCAGCTGCAGTTATGTGAGGCTCCCCTAAGATACCCATGTGTCTGCGCCCGCTCTTTTAGTAGGCGTTCGTTAACCATAAATCTGTGGGATTACTTGGAGATTGATCCCGATGGCGGCGGGGTGTGGTCTTCACCCACACTTCCTGAAGTGTCCCGCATTATGTTGGCGAACAGCAACCAAACACCAACCTAGAGGTCACGGAGACCAAACCACGAAATCTTTAATGGCAAGTTTGTGGGTGAAGTAGGAGTCGTAACGGATGGATTGTGGGATAATCCAGTTGTATATAGCAACAAGAATTCACGAGTCTTTCAACTACCAGCTCCTAATTCAATCTGCAACCAGCAACATCTTGATCCTGAGATTAGCGGTATTACCTCATACAAAGCCTCCCGCCCATAAATCTCACGATAAATCACATAATGCCAACGGGAAGTGAAGTATCGTCGCCAGCACCATCACCGGCGCCATCCCGAACGCATACAGATGGAATCAAGTAATTATTTCTCATTTTCTCGTCACCCTTCTCTTCTTGCTTCGAATTTCTACCTTTTAGAAAACCTCTTTTGCTAACTACGGACTTGCTTATAGTCGTGGTGCTGGGATGCAGTTCACTACTTCTCTGCGTTTCGAATCTTGGTGTCATGATGCTCCGCCGGTAACGGCACGGCTTCTCGCTGGAATTCCCAGCGAACAGCATGCCGATCAACTTCGAAAATCTTTGGAACGGTTTGACGAGCAATGGGCGAAGTCTGCCTGACGCAGATGCCTTACCAATCGGAACGGCAAGGTGGATGGAGAACTTGTACATACTTGACCAGTGATATCAAAGTGTAAAAAGCTGGATGTTAAATAGGGAGGCTGAGTTTGATGGTTCATGTCGAATTGGGAGTGTGTAGCATGGTGAATCGAGGCTGCCAGGCGGCATGTGAATTAAGTATTTGTGAAGATATTCCCGCATTTGGCCCCTTGGAAAAAGTCGAGAATCGTAACTGCAATGAACAACGTTTCAATTTTCACATACGCGATCATGAACCTCACTGTGGGCTCCAGCTAAAATTGACAAGGTTGAGACAAAGCTTAGAAGACCACGTCACTAGTTCAGAGTAGGTGCTGGGTGCACAAACAAGGTAGACTAAATTGCCCGTCGACATACTCCTGTGCTAGGTCAACATGAGTGGCATCGAGGCTCATCTGTCCATTCGCACACGTAGGAGGCCGCCAAGAAACATACCGTCCCGGACAGCGAAATTTGGCTGTCAGGCGGCGACAAGTCAGGCAATTGGGCTGACCGACAACTAAACCCACAATTGCGTTCTTCCACAAATGTGGGCAATGGCATCCGAGACCATTGGGGGCAGTGCATAATCGCCAATGCATGGTGCTATGTTATGATTGGAGGTGTTGCCTTGATAGCGTGGTGGCGCGTAACAGCAATGATTACGGATCCCGTGAATAACTAAGACGAATCAAATGTGCACTTTACGATATGTCTGGCCTCCGCGACCCGCCCTGCGTTGGAACTGTCTGAAATCTCACCCGATGCATAAACATACAAACTCTGACATGACCTGGTCATCTCCGAAATACCTTCATCGCCGACGACTTCAGCGTGATGATGCAGCTACAATGTGGAGGAAATCACGAACCGATTCCAGGGAATCCTCCGATGTACCGAAAGGCGGAAGCTCATTACCCCGACGAACGAGATCGGCCATCGAACGAAGCAGGGATATAACTAAACCGAGAAATAAGAGCAATGGTGGAGCTGGATGGATGAGACGAGGCGTTTTGGATACCATCAGACATACTAGCACAGTGTCTTCGATGGGAACACAGCATCGTGCTTGGATGGAGAACAGAGAACAGAAATTTGGCGTTTCTGTCAACCAGTGGAAGGTAGGTGACAAAGGCTTGGATATTCAAGGCGTTTCATGCGGCTTGGGCGGTCCCCTTTCTGCATTTGAGGTTGTCGACCAAAACACAAGAAATACTAGGATTCCAGAACAGTGGAAAACTGATAACGACTTTGGCTGACACAGTTCTCAAGGCCATATCTCAACGTCTCGGATACGAGTGCATGGTTGAATCATACATCAAGGAGTCAATACATGGAGACAATCCTGGCCAACATGTAGCTGCCATGAACCTGGCCATGAACCCGCCCTTACAGGACCAAAGGAAAGACCGAAGATCTGTGGAAACACGAGCCAGTAAGTACTTACACAGCTTCATCGACCTTGACGGCAGAGCTCACGAAGAACTTTCTCCCATGTATGATCCAAGTTGGAAAGTTCGCTACATGCCAGAAAGTGATTGGTTCTCATCTGCCACCACCTATTGATGAAGTAGCTTAAAGAAGGCTTCATGGGCCATTGAAGCTTGACAGCATTGCTGATAGATAATTTTGCAAGAATTAGGTTGCGTACATCACCCTACTAGCAATGAAATTTCCGCCGAGCCGGAGACCAATAGTGTTCTTGATTTGGAATCTCAGAAATCAGCGAACGGTACGTAAAGAATATCCATTACTGAGTTGAACACACTGATTATGTTAAATCAGGCGCACCGGTCTTTTGTCCTTCTAGATCGAAGATTTCTACAACCTCTGACTTGCCCTCTTTTCATATAACAGGTAATGCCCCCTAGAACGAAATGCAGCCGTCGCTAACAAGTGTTCCAGCAGCCAGAGATGAGCACTTGATCCTTGGGAGATCACTTCAGGGGCCCAAAGCCCCGTGGCCCCTAGTAAATTTCAGTGAAGTTACCGAGGTCACAGACTGCAACGGAGGCCCCGGGAAAAGATCGCAAGCCGTGTTTTTCCTTAGTGAAGGGAAAGACACGTCCCAGTCACACAGTAGAAAACGGCTGAAGCCTGACGACCAGAGAGATGATGATTCGGGTGACGAGGATCAGAAAAAGGCACCACTAAAAAGAGATGCCGGATTCGATATGGATCCCACACAGCCAAAGCTTTTTGCCTGCCCCTACTACAAGCTTGACCCTATCAAGTATCTCAACTGCTTTAAGCGATTTCACTTGAAACGCGTCAAAGACGTCAAACAGCACTTGCATCGGAAACACTCTGTCACGGAGCTGTACTGTCCCACATGCTGGCGCACTTTCGAAGGACGTCCGGAAAGAGACGATCATATTATTAAGCGCTCTTGTTCTCCTCGTGATCAACCCACAGCTGACCCTGACGTAATGACGCCAGAACAGCAAAGACTCATCGCTAAGCGCACAGACAGCGGTCTTGATGAGCCTAAGCAGTGGTTTGGTATTTGGAAAATACTATTTCCCCAGAAAGACGAGCCTAAGTCTCCTTATCTTGGGACAGAGTTGCAGGAGGTGATAGGCACGGTCCGGCAGTACTGGAGGGCGCACTGCCATAGCATAATTTCAAATGCTCGCCAACGAAGCTCTGGTTCTGAATCATCGACCATCGAAGAGTTCGAAACCATGTCGGCGGCGGAGAGAGGCATCCATCATTTCAGTGCAGAGGTTCTGACGGATACTATGGAAATTCTGCTGGACCGATTCAATGCCGATACGCGCGAACGAGGCAAAGAATGCTCCAGATCGCCGCCACTGCAAGAGGCTGCCCCCCTTCATTCCTCCCCAAGCAAGATCGAGACTGAGAATGAGAACTGCATAGTGCTATCTCAGGGTTTAAGAAACAATGTCGAATTTCACGGCCCGGACTCATACGAGTCTGTTCCCATTGAGGAGGAGATTAAAGATTTGATCCCAGTCGCCGAAACAGACTCAGCAGTCCCCCTGGACGTCAATTGGCCAGACAACATAGACTTCGACTTCGGAGACTTCCTTGATTCTTCGTTTCACCCTATGTCAAGCTAGATCAAGGAAACCGAGAATTGCACTACTATGGAAAACTTTGTTTGTATCTAGGTAAATGTGAGATTGTTACGGTGTCAATGCAACCTGCTTACTTACTGTACCTTAGGTATTAGAATGAACAGTATGCATGGGTAGAATACGTTGGGAAGACTCGTCTTTTCCGCAGTAGAAAATATCACCCGTCTAAAGTAAGCAGGATAGACAAAGGGACACATGTATATAGCATAGCCAACTGGCTACTTACGAGCTTGTTCGATTTATTAAAAGGCCTTCATCTTGACTCATCGTTTCAGAGAGCTAAAAAAAGAGCAGCTTTCGACGTTGGCCTGATTCGAACAGACGCTCCCGAAGGAACAAGATTTCTAGTCTTGCGCATTAGACCACTCTGCCACAACGCCCGAATCCACTCAGGGTGGAGATGTTCTATAGGTGACATGAAGCGGATCATGATCGCTAAGCTGACCCATGCTCGAGAGGTTGAGGATAAGTACCTAGTGGAAAAACCTGGGAGGCTAGTCAAGTCGTCTGCCATTGTCGACGTGACAATTTTGTACCTTCACTGTAGTACGCTAACTCGTGGGTAAACAATGTGGCTTGTTCGAGCCACCAAAATTCATCAACCTATAAACTCCGCCGATACCAAATACCTTTGTTCAGCTCTTGAACATTTTTCCCGCGCCCTTAACTCCTGGGGTATCATGAGTTGCCCGGATCGGTCATCAAACATACTCCGCCGCTTCATGGTCCACAATAGTACTGCCAGAGTCTGGTTGGCTTGAGCTCGAGTGCCGAGCAATTTCGAGTGGAGACAAGCCGATTGGTGCGGTCAGACGACGAGACATGGCTCGCGGCCGCCTGGGAATCTCTGTGTGCACTATTCGTCCTGAACCTGAGCTTTCCTGCTGGCCGGGGCCATGGGTATCTTCTCCTGAATTCCTCTTCGACGCTGTCTCTTGCGAGGAAAGGACAAATCGACTGCCTAGATATGGCATTGAGAATCTCCTGGACCTTGACTCTGTTGACCTTGATATTGATTTCTTCTGGTTGGGAACGGGAGCACCCTCGTTACTGTCTCTTCTGGATTCAAGGTGTGCGTTCATTGAGTGCGACTCGCGGACTACCTTGGCAATGAGGTCGGCCATACCCATCTCGATATGTAGCTTCAAGAGATAGGCGAGGGGATGAAATTGTGCGTAGCTGGGGATGTCAGTATCTGTTCAAGGAATTGACGAGAGAGAGTACAACATGAGAGTATTGGGAAGAGACATGAGTCCTATCAAGATGACCTATATCCACTTCGGTAAGTACTGATTCAGTCGCAGTGTCATGCGCATAATACTCACGTCGAGTGACATGGACACTGCAATCATGAGAAGATTGAAGTTAAATAGCCTCGTGTACTTTGTGAGGCCGCTGGCAATCAAGCGTGACTTGACGAGATAGATGAAGGTGAGGTTGAGGCTTGCGTCAACGATCAAGAAAATTGCCTTCTCGATCCTGTCCCAGATCTCGTTGACGTGGATGTATGTGTGGTTGATTTGAAGACGCGCAGGGATCCATATGCAGAAAACGCTGATGTTAACTGCGAGCAGGATCCCGAAGACGCCCCACTTCAACCGGCTTGCATGCGACTGAATCGGTATCAGAATTGCGATCCGGTTGATGATGATTTGCATCAGACATTGAACTTGAATAGACCACAGGACGACTGGAGGAGCCAATTCGTTAACGGCGCCGCGAAGAAGTCGGTCGTACTCGATGGAACTTACGAAGGAAGAAGAAGTATTCGAAGCTAGAAAGCCGTCAGATTTGGTTTTTTCGGATATGGATTTGATGCACGTACCTTGCGTCAATCCTGCCCGTAAGGTAGCACCAAGATATGATGCCAATAACCATACTCGCAATCCATTCCGACCATATCAGCCACACATACGTGTTGATCCGGTGTATCCTTCTCCAGCTCGCCAAAGTCTGTCGGTATCCTTTGACCCCGCTCCATAGCCCGACTCCAAGCGTGAACCCCCAAAACATGCTGGCGATGTTCATGTCGTTGACCGAGGGTGGATGCTCCTCGTACCACGGAGGAACAAGAGTTCCCGCCATCGTGAAGCTAGATGTCGATGATCATCAGTCGATTGCGAAGGATCTTGGACGAGACGTCCGCCTTCATCCCCAACGGCAGCGCAGGGACTCGAGGGAGAAGAACGAGAAATGCTGCTGGGCAGGGAAACTTTTCCACGAGGGGCGCGAAAATGCTGGGGCACGGCTGTCCATATGAAGGCCTGGAACCCACTGACCGCCGCTCATCGGAACTTCTGTGCCGCGCTAGAAGTGATGGCGAATAGACACGCTAGAATCTGAGGAATTAAGCCGGCGTATGGTGGCAGTCTGGGGGAGTTTATTCGAAGGTTGGTGTGGAATGGAGGGTGCGACACAAGCGCGGTGACTGGTCTGCAGAGCAAACGCCGTCGAAGATTCCCTATTCCCGACTCGGGAACGTCAGTGCTGGCCGAACTGGATAACCTTGGACCCTGCAGGCGTCAAGTTGTCCGTGGGCAACGTTCAGACCCAACCCGTTTTAGCTGGATGCCAAGGATTTATGGGCAAATTTTACCTCTTGTGGTGTCTTGCTGCATCGAACAGACTTTCCCTGTAGCCGGTTGGCGGCCGGCAAATGAAGTATGCAGTTGCTTTTGGGGCACATGGGAGTTCGCCACGCCGTTCCAAGTGAGATGGCTGCTACGATGATCTCCGGACAGTTATGCCAGGCTCCCCTGGAGGCGGGGCTGGGAAGCTGCCGCGAGAACAAGGCACGGTCTGGATATGGGTAATGGCGCCGTTGAAAGACTGCAACCTGACGGACGGCGCGGAGATCGGACTGGACGCCGGTGCAACCGGATTGCCGCCAACGCCCAAACCTCTCACAGCCGCGTCTCCTGAAAGCCGCCAGGACTCGGGAGATGCCGTCCCAGAAAAGAATTAAGTAATAGCAAACGGGCTGTCTAAGCCTTAACAGCGGTGAATTGTCCGCTCTCTGCCCATGCATAACTGTTCACGATCTCCGGCCCGACAACACAGACACTAGGACAGCGAGTTCCCGTAGTAAGGGGCACCCTAGACTCCCTTGGGGGATTAAGCTTTGGCCTCGCAGGAACGTGCGTCACTCCAATCGAGATCAGCACGAGGGTAAAAATGTTTTAGTGTGGGCATGCGAGTCAGGGTTCACTATTGTCGTCATTGGGGAAAGACTCCAACACCACAAAGGGGTTCGTTCCAAAGTGTCCCTCCGGCGACAGACTCTGGACGGCACGAGACGGCACCGTCTCCGAGACCGAGCTTTAGCGGCTTGTGGGGGCGATCTGCCGGCCAAGCATCAGTGTTCGTTTCGTGTTCTCTCATTTGTTTGAAGGTCTGTTGTCTATGGCGTCAAGTTGGAGAACATTACTCTGGGGATACCTCGAAAAGGTGAGAGATCATCACGCCCCTGACTCAATTGTCTGATGTTTTGGTGACGTCTGATAGTTCATAAGGCACCTTACAGAACGTGAAGACTTAATCGCTTCCCGCGGGAGTATCACAAATCAAGGCGAGCCCTCGGAATCAAAGCTGTTTACTACTGTTCTTTATTGTACAGCGCAAGATGAGGCTTTCATCGCTTAAACACCCACACTCGGTCCGCTCTTATTGTAGGTAGGATTTAAATTGCATAACATCGCGTTACAAGATCAATCGTCAAGAAACTGCGACTCTGTCAAACTGGCTCCACATTTGCAGATCCGAGTACGAAGTGCTCATCGCCAAAACGAGTGCTATGCTCACATGTATGTAGATGACCGATTGGTAGTACGAATACACACATGGAGTCTGTTAAATTCCGTATGTTGAAAACCTCCATTGGTTCTGTCACGTCATCAAATCATCCGAATACCGGAGAGCAACCCCAGTAAGATGGGTAGTTGATTCTGTTCACGCTGATTCAAATCGGACGGTTTAGTAAGGTTGTCAAAGTAAGCAAGAAAGGCGCGTGACCATGAACAAACATGATTGTGTGAAAAGTGATATCAAGCATGAGCACTTCAGAACGCTACCTAGCTGAAATAGGATTCTCCAAACATGGTACCACCGTCAGTTGAGATCAATATACGCTCACACCAATGAACACTGATATTAACCCAGGATGACAGAACCAGGTATTTATTCCATCGGCAATCTCTCGAAGCTACCTCACGACGATTTCAACTATGACATTCAATGGCACCCGTGTAACATAGCGGATGTCGCATATCTATCTCCGAAACTGAAGTTGTGGAAACCAATAATGACCTAGCCTTTGAATGTTTGAATTTGTATTGTCATCATGGCCTCATAATCTTTAGGTCGCAGAACTTGCCGAAACCTGGGACAGGAACCGGGTTCGTTGCAAAGTGGCACTTAATAAAGCATTCAATAGTGCTTGCCTCCACTTGCTATCGTTCATAGGTGGACTTTCACTCAGTACCAGCCAAGTAAAACTAAGGTGCTGTGCTAGTTCATTGAATTGTAAACTCGGTGTGATCACCACGCTGCGGTGCGCACGGCTTGCACAGGCTCCGGCACATGAAGAACATGTCAACCTGTCAGATGTCATTCTAGTAAAGTAAGAAGGCAACAAACAATTCTCTTCCAATGGGTATAAGTTGGGTTTTCCTGTTCGCTCCTTGAACGTGCTATGTGAAAAAAAAGCAAAGTACTTACAACTATGAACCTGGACTCTACCTTATGTATGTTTAAGTCTCCAAACGGATAAAAAACTATTCATGCAGACGCAATGATCAAGACGCACATTCCAAATCCGATAATGTCCTATCTTGCTCCACAGGCACGGTGTTCACGTACGCTCGCTCTTAGTGGAACCCGGCGGTCTTTCAAACATCGACCCTGTACAGAGGCTAATGATTCAGCTTTGCTCCTATTGTGAATGTTCGCACCAGTATCGGGCCCTGGCTGGGGATGGACTAATTTTGCTATGAGGCCGCGTCGCGCGGCGATTATCCAGCCGTCTCCCTACTTAGTTAGTCTCTCGGTGCACCAGCCACCGTTGTCCGCTCGATAAGAAGCCCGCTGCCCACGTCCTCTTGTGAGCGAGAGACACTCAGGCTTTGCAAACGAATCCATCATCTCTTTGGCTGCAAGATCCAAGAATACTGAATTCAGAAGTTCTTCATTGACCTACTAATATTTCGAGAAGACAAAGAAATTTATTTTGCGAGTTTATTTCATCAAATCCTCACAGAACTTCAATACTTGTTCTCAGATTACGTCAATGAAGGAATTCCTCAAGACGAAGTGATGGTATCGCTTTTGGAAGTTACGAGATCTAGACCCCCTTTTCAACATGCTCATGATAATAGTCACTCACGCCCTTGAAGATGTCTCTTGACTATGGCGTATTTGAAAAGCAAATGCTGCAAAATCTCAAGGCCTTCGGATTATCCTGGGCAATCGAACCCTTAAACGAAATTCATACATCTCCTGAACTTCTAATGATGTCTGATTCGCCCAACATCACTCCGATCTTGGGTATCTGCACGTCCACGTATGACACATACTTCTTGGCTCAAAAGTGCCCAAGCCTGTTTGGAAATGAGCACCACTGCGACATGCTATAACCGTTTCATGGCATTAAGTGAAGTAATACATTAAGCAGAGCACGCAGATATGGCGAATCATATGCTTAAGCAGACATGTCAATGACCAGCGACTAGGGTGCAGTGACGGACCTGGACCATCTTCCGCATGCGGCCCACCACGACACATACTGCGAGCCACTAGATTGATGAGGAAGGCATAGGTCAATCGAAGATTCTACGGACTTGGTACTCGCCCAGAGAAGCAGTGTTTTGCCACTCATGCGCGTTTATCTACAGGACTGCAAAACAGCCGCTCTTTGATGGTGCGAAAGGCAACGAAGGCCTGAACGTCAGGAGATTTGCGCTGGCATACCTTGATGGGCTCTACGACGTTGGTGCCTAGAGAAGCAGGGGTCGCCTCACTTTGAGCCGAGTATGGGATTGGACATAACTTGACTGGTAAAATGGTTTCAGCCAATGAAGAAAGGCAGCTAAACAGTCAACGTTGGGCAGTGATGATCTACTTCACGGGCGTCCACATATACACCAGGGCTACATTCAAATGCCAAGCATACCTAGTGACTCAAACGCATGGAAGATAATCGGAAGTCCTGTTCACCACGCAGTGCTGTTTGTGTATGACGGCGTATGTGACGTTGACTTAGACGAGAGCGATTATGACTGCTCCTACAATGGTTTCAAACCATATTATTAAAACGGGATTCCCGGACGACTGGTAGCATTTTATGTACCTAAAGAAATTGACATTAATCGGCTTCGAGATACTGGTCTTCAACGTCAGGGAAGTACTGGGGCCTCAGAGGGCAAGGGTACCTCGTTTGAGCAAGCAAGCCATGCGATCCGATTTGATGAGCCAAGTATTGAGAAGTTCGAGCATGGACCGCAGAACATAATTAGCCCATCAAGATGCAGATCTAAACACGTTGCTACGAAAGCCTCAATAAAAGTATAACCGACGTACTCCGCGCCCAACCTATAGCAGCGTCATGAAATCATGTACCCGACAGCGTTACTGATGCGAACCTTGAGTCCTCTGGAACTTGCTGGCAATCAAGCTGACATGCGACACATTTCATCTGTAATGAATCCGAACATAGATCGGGAGCTTTACTATCCAAGAATGAACGCATTCACAATCTGGGATAGTCACATGGAAACGTGAAGTCCCGAAAATGCTGAATCTGAGCATTTGACAGGACGTCTTGCATAATTATGAGTTTGGTTCTCGGCCTTGGTATGGAATTTCTGGCAAGCTTTGCATTGTGGATGACCGCTAAGGACTTATAAGACGTTTGAAGTGACGCTATCAGATACGACAGTCCGGATCTTGAGATTTGAATGCGAGATAAAATGCTTCATAGGCGGCTATAGAATGATAACCCGCAAGCGGGAACTATTAGAAGAGATCAATCACGACGGTGTGAGTCGAAATGCTGGGATTACATTAAGAACTGGTCTGATTCAACGAAGAAG